CTAAGATTCAGTACTGGCAATCTTGGCCGGAAACCATTACTAAAATTTCTTCCATCCTGACCTCTTAAAATGAAAGATTAAAAATACACTACACTATCTTGACTTCCACTTTGACTAGTCATAGGACTATATGCTTGTGCTATACTAATATAAGGGGGGACACCTTTTTAGAAAGGGCGAGCCATTCAATACTGAACACTGACAATTTCATTTAGCTGGAATCTGTTATCCAAATGCCTAGGCATTGGTCAAGTCACATGTAACTATAGTCTTCCTATAATAAAGTTTGGTAGTTGGGATGGATGAAGGGTAGAGTCAGTTCAGTAAAGTTGTAGTTGCCAGAATATAAGCCCTCCCTGCTCCAGCCCAAAAGCCAAATATAATGAGCATGCATTTAGCAACTATGCATGTTAACTAATAAAAAGCTAAGCTTGTGTGTATGTTGGGAAGCTATGGCAATGCAAAATTGCCCTAAAGTGTTTCCTTATGTTATTTAGAATGGCTAAATGTCTCAAAAGGTAGCTTTAGTTTCAAGGATTTGGTGCTGCAGATGTTGTCCACTTGTGTAACTTCTTTTAATGGCGTCAATTTCTGGATGCAGGCATTGATCCCTGGGAGGGATGGCAGATAAGTCATTTCATCTACTGCCATCTTTCCACAAATCTAATGAGCTTGGAGGTGAGGGCGTGCAGCTGTGCTGTTATCTCCCAACGAAAACGAGGTGACTTCCCCAAGTGTTACAATATAACTGGGCAGCATCCGATGTATAAAAATGCCTTTATTGGGGTGGGTGCAGATGGGCTTTGACCATTATATACTTTTTGTGCTCTAATCCTTCTTGAAGTGTGGTATGTTTGTATATCTGCATAAACCTTTTTGTATTTTGTTCTGACAGATGTCCAAGTGACTGAAACCAGATCCATCTTTATCACCAATCAGCTAGGCCGTGCCTATTTTGACCAGAAGGTTATGCTTCCATATTTCAAAAAGGGAATTTCTTATCCTGTGGGGGTGAGTTGAGTTAGAATTTTTTTGAAAATGTTAAATTGCATGTGTTGTCATGGTAAGGTTTGGAGTACTAGTGGGCAACACTTCTTTAATTTGGCATCTAAAATACTTCTACGTTGATATATGAACGTCCTCAATTGTCTGTATAGCTGTAATGTAATGGGAACGTCTGCTTTCCACGGTCTATTGGATTTGCATGTTCTGACTGCTTTAATTCAGTCGAACATGAACTTATGGGAGCAAGATGGCTGCTTCCCTTGTGAACTCTGTAAAGTCTAATTGCCTGGCAGCCGTATTGATCTGCTTTCCAAACTGATTTAGAATAAGTATGCAGATAGGAGTTTGCCAATGGCATCCCCATATTTCCTGTTGGGAAGTTAGATTTTGACTTGGGTCATGTTGGTGGGGATGGCTTAGTTCTCTAACAAAAAAAACACACAATACTGCTATCTGTTGGGAGGGGTTGTAGCTTTATGATGTGGGCATAGCTTGTCTCATTGAGGACTGATCTTTTTGCTTTAGCCCAGTTACTTATGTTTGTACACTTCTGTCATTTAGACAGTCAGTCCATCAGTCATCTGTCCCTCATTACCGCATGATGGATCTTGGGCTCCTAATTACTATGGTGCAAGATCAATCACATGAACAAATAAACAGTGGGAGGGGCTCATGGCAAACTAGAAAGGCTATCATGATAAATGCATGAATGACACTGAAGCATATGTTGACGTTTTCCTCTGCATGTTAGATTATTGTTGAAGATGCGCTGGGGCAGCCTGAGAGTGGTCAGCTGGTGGAACTCAAGCTGGATGGAAAGGCTGTTGCCAACTTGATGTCAGATGAGAATGGCAAAGCAGAATTTGAAGTTGATACATCACATTTTGCCACTTCAGGATTTAACCTTCAGGTGAGTGGATATTGCACAGTCTACAGCCACATTGGAATGATCAGTTCAAATCAAGAACTTTCTCTAAAGTGTTTAGCTTAAAGTGACACTAAACTTTAAAAATTAATTCAAGTACTTTAACCACCAAGCTTATGGGTCAGAAGGAGAATCTGCACATGTATATTTATGTTGGGATCTGTAGCAGCCAGTCAACTTATTTCAGAGGAGCTGCACCAACCTTATGGATAAATCTCTCTCCTTAAGGTGAGCCCCGTTCAAGTTAAATCTTAAAAATGAATTCAAGTAACTTTTAAGATACATTTTTGTTAATAGTTATTTTGTTAATAGTTATTTGTGTATCACTAAATTGTAGATCCTGAAATTCTCTGAATTGGTGCTGACACTGCCCTTCTGGAGGGTGGCTACTTTTGTTCCCCATGGTCCCGGTGTGTTGTGAAGGTGCCATCACTCCAAGCTCGCTTCAAGACTAAATGACTAAATAAATGACTAAATACTAGACTAACTTCAATACTAAATAACTAAACCTGAGATTGTAGTAAATCATGGGAGCGTGCTTGGAGCAGTGACTACATTACATCACACACGGATCATGGGGAACAAGGTATCCACCCTCCAGAAGTAAGGACAGGGTCAGCTTGAATTTAGAAATTATTTGAGGATATATAGCAGTGTTACGCAAATGGGAAGCCATTTTGCTAATCATTCAGGTACTTGAATGCACTTTGAAGATTTAATGCCTGAGTTTAGGTCACTTTAATTTGGTTAGAGCAAACTAATTCGGCAACCATTTAGAGTAATTCTGCACAACAATGTCTTGGTTTGTAATGGCTGCAGTTTTCTTACTTTTTAACACTTTATTTTTGTGTCCTAAAACTACTAAATGAACATTAAACCAGTTCTTTAACTGAACTTTACCTAAAGCTAAAGCCACACGTGTTGTAATGTAACGGTTCAATGTTTCCTCATTTATTCAGCAACTAGGTCTTAAAGGAGAACTATGGGGTCAGTGCTTTTCACCATAGTTCTCCTAAGGGTCATGGGAGAACCCAAACTAGCGTTCTCCCGTGACCCAAAGCTCAGTGTACCGCGAGCCACAGCTTGCGGTTTACTAAGACGCAGCAGCCGGGACGGATCCCGACTGCTGTCGAAATCCACCCGGCTGCGGGATTGACAGCTGGCTCTGCCTATCCAGAGGCAGAGCCAGCTGTATCCACCCCTTCCCCCGTCCGTTCCGCCAGATAGCACTGGAGGATCGGACAGGGGAGGGGGGAATCCCTGCAGAGCAGTGAGTGACAGTCACAGCTCTCTGCAGCGCTGGATCGAGAAGCGAGCGATATGCGCTCACTCCCCAATCTACTGAGCTGACCTGTGACCGTTTCATTGTCACAGGTCGGCTCAGATTATGAGGCTGCATGGAAAAAAATAACTCGCCTCATAATTCTCCTTTTTAAGACTTGCATAAAAATTCTATTTATATGTAGTCATGAAGACTCAAACTACAGTTAAAGTCCAGGCTTATCAAAGCCCTCTTTTTACAAAAAAATTAGGGAATGGTTAAAACCAGACAAGTGTTTTTGCTGTCTGTCTCATTTGAGAGATTTCCCTTCTCTTCTCCTGTAGCCACAATAGGAAGGGAGAAGAGCCATGTAAGAGGTATGGCCACTACGTCAATCTGAGGTCCTGAGTTCAGGCCAGTCACTGACACTAGTTGCATGGAGGTTGTGCACTTTCTTGCTACAGCCCCAAAGCCCCTAAAGCGTATTTTAAACCTCTACCGTCTAAATTGTGTCTGTTCAGGAGATTCTAGCAGGGTCATCATACTGTAAGCGTCTCTGGCATTCAATTTACTCTTTAAAGCTCAACTCTAACAATGGGGACATAAATAAAAACCCATTTGATTTTTGGTAAGTGGGGAAGGATTGGAACTTCTGACTATTTTCTGTCTGGTAATAACTGTACTCTCCATTTCAAGTATCAGAGCCAGGAGGTAAGAATATCTCTTCAGTGGTCGCTTTCGGTTTATTCTTGTCTGCATTAACCACACATGAAATGCAATTTTCAAAAACCTAGTGTTTTGGGCTTCAAAAAATGTGAAATAGGTTGGTGCTGTTTAAATACCGGCGGGTCCATAAATGGCAAATAAGAACATGCTCTGGCTAATGCTTTAGTGTTGGCTATTTGTATATTGTGATTAAAAATGTTTTTTGTTTCACTCAACAGTTGGTTTACAAGACCCAAGAGCAATGTTATGATGGCAACTGGATAGTGCCCACTTACTCCAATGACTATCGCCAAGTCAATCGCTTCTTCTCGCGCACCAATAGCTTTGTGCAGCTGCAGGGCCCCAAAGAAGAGCTGCAGTGTGGTGCAACATACAACATCAGGGTCCAGTACACATTTGGCGAAGAAGCTCTGGCTGTGGGACAAACTACCGCCAAATTCACCTATATGGTGAGTGTATAGAAGGCATTATGGGATGAGGGTAGGGAGTTGAGTGCAAAATACTGTCAGTTACACATAGAACTGGATGGTGAATCTATGGCAGGATCTACCTTGACAACCACGAAGGCTCTGCATGGCTCGTTTCAGGTTGGGTTCTGTGTAACGCAACCCTGGCTCTTTCATGGATATCAGTGCGCGTTAACCACTTAGACATTAATGCTTTAGGTTAAATATAATTTATAGTCTCGTCTTTCATTGCCCTACCTACAGTACTTCTAGTAGTACAGTTACTACTCCGGTAACTTCTAGTGTAGTATCCCAGGAGTCACATTTTACCTGGACTTATTCTATAATGCAATGTGTGATTTTACAAAGCTGGAAAATGTTATTTTGAAATGTTTATCATTGGCAATATTTGCTATAAATTGCAAATGCATTTTTCTTTTGCTTTGTTAAATGATCTCGCAATGTGCTAAACTCCTGGAATCTTTAACGCCTGGAACACTTAAAATTGTAGCTTGCACACATTTTAAAATGGGTTTGGGGTCATCTTTTTGTTGCCCATGTTGTAATCAACTATATGCCATGAACTTGTAAGAATAAGTGGCTACCATCACTTTCACTTTTACTCTGTGTCGCAGGCCATGTCAAAATCGAAGATTGTGGCATCCGGTCAACATTCCGTAGACGTGTCAGCATGTAAGTACAGAATGCCAGGAATCTCCATCTTTGTCAAATACTCCAACCTGCCAATAGAACAATCCTGTAAAGTTTCTATGTAGAGGTGTGGTCATTTTATGATGCTATAGAGATGTAGAAGTGAGA